TTGACACATTCACGCTTAATTGATTTTGCGGTTTACACCCGCTGCTCCGTCTTGTAACATCACTGACCTCACCCGCCATTCACCGCCGCCTTTAGTGCTGACAAGATTCTCTTCTCGCCCCTTCCAACCAGGGGGGGCCCAAGAGCGATGCGCAGTGCAGGGAGAAAGTTAAGCCACATACGCATGACGTCATGTGGGTGACAGTGTTAGTTCTTGGCGTTTGTTTACTTTCGTTGCATTAACAGTTTGATTTGATTTGTGTTGTTAATTTGCTATTATACCTAGGCGGAAGTGGCAAATTGTGCTATAGCGTTGTGTCAGAATTATACACGTTAATACGTTTTTTAGCGGAAAACACTCTTTACAACCAGATAAAATAACTGACTATTTTTTAATGAAGTTTATGTAGTTTTCATACATAACTGTGATGTAATTTTACATTTATTTTTCATTTTACTGCCTATTTTACATTTAAAATTGAAAAATTTCTCATTTTAAATCATTTTTTATCATAACGTCTCATTTTGTGTATGAGACTTACATCGTAGTGAGATATTTAAACTCAGTGTCATGTTTACCAATACTGAGTACCTGAATGATTAGTTGAATAAATTCGCTTATCCAACTTCATTCACATGTTTTGGTTACTTTCTTTACATCCCAAACGTAATTCTATGTATTGAAGCAGCGTCTGGGTTAAGCATTTGCGAACTAAGTAAACTGATACATGCCTCACCGTGAGGAAAGAACAATTTCTCGACCACACTATGATGCAAACATCGAATGAGTGAGTGACATATTTCCTTCAGTGTTATTTAACTGATGCATACAGGTATGTGTGATGTAATTTAATTGATATAACTTAAATGAACTTACATGCTTGAACCTGAAGGAAAACAAATCTGTGTATTGTGCTGGAATACAAATAGCGAAAGATTAAGTAAGATATTCTGTTCAGTGTTATTTAACTGCTGCATATGTTTTAATTTTGATTCCATATAATTTGTTTTTAATTATAAGAGAAAGAAAATAATTAAATAATTCAATGAACACATATTTCGAGTATAACAAAAGTATTTTAAGAAACAACCTGATAAAAATACATTAGTAATTAAAAATATTTAATTTGTACAGGCTGAATTGAAATTAAGATGTGGTAGTGTATTTAATTATGGCAAAGCACACTAGGGCTATCTGTTGCCTTCGTGTGATGCCTTCGTGGAGGACTTTCTCAGGGAAACTGGCTCGTATACACGTTACGCATGAGGAAAACCACGAAAACACCCACGCAGCCAGCCCGTTCGCGGAATTCGAACCTCGGACCGAACTACCAGTGTTCAGCGACTTTACCGCTCGGTCGCTGGTGGGCCGAAACTAAGATGTAGGGCAAGTTTATTATTATTATTATTGTGCGTATATGTGTAAGAAAATGTATTTTAATTGTTCCATTTTTAATGTATGGAAGGAAGAATAGGATGCCAATATATCGAAGATTATTTACTATAGCAAATAATCACGTAAATATTATATAGAAACAGGATAAATATTATATAGAAATCTTGGGAGTGTAAGGGATTATAAGAGTACTTTTAGATTATACTGAAAATATACGCACTTTTGCTAAATCTGAAGTGAATCAGTATGAAGTGCATTTTCACTTTAAAAAGAATGTGATAAGTATACTATTTAAAAGTATAATGACGGATATTAAGAACATTTGTAGGAATTTTATGGTATTTAAATATGAATTTGTTAAGTCAAATCTCTTTTATATATATTTTTGCTTGAGATCATAGTAATTTAAACTGAAAATCACGATCATATATTTCTCATGGAATGTCAAAGTTCATTTGTATTAAAAAAAGTGCATGAGCAATGAAAATAAATAGAATAATACTTTTTGATTATGTTTTTACCATGGGTTTAGCAGTTATGCCATCATGCGTTCTGTTCAACAAGATTTATTTAGTGCAAACTATACTACGAAAATATATTGAAAAATACCTTGTTTTACAATATTTATTTCCCTTAATTAACTTAAATAACGTTTTTCATTTTCTAATGCTTTCCTTTACGAAAAGAATTTAATGTTTACAATTATTTTCAGCATTCGTACGAATTCTGTGCATAAAATAAACATTTTCTTTAACAAAATACTTAATCGGAAAGTATTAACCCGGTATTTCCGGTGTATCTACCACATATAAAATGATCACTTTGCTTTAGTTTACATTTTTTCCATTACCAAAATCATGTAGCAGACGCGTCGGCCGATGCGTCTTGTCTCCCGGGTGACGTCACTACCAGCAACCAATGGCACGCTTTTTCCGTTCCTGGCCTAACCTTAGTATATTAAAGAACCTTGCCTTCCAACACCTACTACATTTTCTTCTTTCGTTTCACCCTAGATTGGTTATCAGAAGCCGAGTAAGAAGATCTTTCTACATCTTGACACTCGAGAATATAATACGATCTTCGTCGTGCAGCTCCAACTACCGTCATACTCAGTCTCAGATCTGGTTTAGAACAGCTTCGCGTGCTTGGCGCTGTCAAGGCGGTTAAAAGAGAAGGGGGGAAGGTTCAACTGAAACAGTGAATATTGGCAGTCATATTAGCAAACGAAGATCGATGAGAGCGAGAGGATTTCTCAACTGGCTGAGAGAATTGACCAGAGTCGTAGTTTCCTGGAGGAGGATTCTAATTTTGCTCCGATAACACAGGACTCTCAAGTGAATACGGACTGGATGTGTTCCCTTCTTGCCACTAGATGGCAGGTATTCTTCCTTTATTTTTCGCTAGTTGAGATATTGGAACGAGATTAGATTCGAACCGCTCGGAAAAAGACAAAACTTTGGACAAAACTTTGTGAAGACAAAACTTTGGATTTCGAAACCAACTAAAATGTACTGTCATTAAAGTAATTATCAACTATCCTGTAAATACTTTAAAATAAAGATGTGTGAAAATAAAAAAGTCATTAAAGCTTAATTGAAGAAGTGATTTGAATCGAATATAGAAATCGAAAGCTCTCCCATATAGAAGCTATGGATTAGAAATAACATTTTTAGTGGTGCTTTCACCAAGGGACTTTTGGATTGGAATCTCGATTAGCAGATGGATTACCTGTGAACAGGTAAGCAATTCTCTTTTTTCTTAGAAAATTTGAAAGAAAACTGAGTTTCACTATTGTGATTAGTCAATTTTAAACATGGAAGCCATTGAAAAACTAAAGTAACGTGACGAAATTAATTACAAAAATAGAGTCTTTGTTATCAGAAAATATCGAAAACACAAACATTGATTAATTGCAGGAGATGAATGAAACAATTCTCGAAAGAGAAAACACGTTGAAAATGTTGAATTCACAAATCAAAACTCAGTTAAAAGATGCTAAAGAATTTGAAAAAGATATTTCTGCAAGTGATAAATACAATGAACAAATTATATCTGCAAAGTTTAGAATTAAATTAAGATTGAATAAATGTAATGAAAATTTGTCTGTGAAAAATGTTCAGATGCAAATTCTTTGAACACATCTGTTTCTGAGATAAATATATCGTCATCGTCTATGAAATTGCCAAAGTTAAATATTGCAAAATTTTCAGGAGATGCAGGAAAATGGTTGGAATTCTTTAACAGTTTTCAAGCTACGATTGATCAGAATAAAGCGTTAACCAAGATTGAAAAGATCGTATACTTGAAATAATTATTGATAGGGCAAGCATATAATGTCGTTGAAGGATTTCAGTTAATCGAACACAATTACTACTCTTGTTTAGAGCTTTTAAAGAACGCTTTGGAAAACCAAAGAAAATTATAACATCACATATGAATAATCTTTTGGAAATAGAACCAGTTAAAATTTCTTCTAACTTAAATGAACTAAGAAGATTACACGACGCTTGTGAAATAAACATTCGAAGCTTAAGTAATTTAGGAGTAAATTCAGGTTCGTACGGACACTTGTTAAATCCGATATTATTGAAATTATTGCCTCATGATTTGATCCTCGAATATCAACGAAAGCGTAGTCTAAAAGAGGAATCTGATGTTACAGGTTTAATTGCTTTTTTGAAAAACGAAATTGCATGTCGTGAACAAACGTACGCAGTTAACAAACCGGAACCGAAATTAGTTCCATTGAACGGAAAGAATAAACATTTCGACAAACACAAAAGTAATTTTAAATATGCAAACAATAAGTTTAACTCTAAAGATAACCCCTCGTCGGCGGCAGAATTACTAGCTCCCGTAAAAGAAGAAAATTGTATTTTTTGCAAAAATAACACACATAATAGTGAAAAGTGTAATATTAGTGTAAATGAGAAACGAAATGTGCTAATATTACAAATTAGCTGTTATGTTTGTCTGGCTCAAGTTCATAGATGGTCAGACTGCTCTGAGAAAAACTCTTGTGTATACTGCCACAAAAAACATAATGCAACCCTTTGTTACAATAATTAGAAAAAACCCGAAGCATCGCAATCAAGCGGTGTAGAAAATTCAGCGTGCAATCACATTAGCATCGGTAGGAATAAAATATTTTTACAGACGGCGACAGTAGAATTTAAAAGTAGGTCATGCAATAAATTAGTTCGTTGTTTATTTGACAGCGCTAGTCAACGCTCGTATATTCAGAAACGTCTGTCTAAACAACTGGGATTAAAAGTCGTGGGAAGGGAAGAAATAATGATTCATACTTTCGGATCTCAAGTGCCTACCAAACAGAACTGTGCGCGAGTAGAAGTAAAAATAAAAAACATTTTCGATAACCAGGAATTAATTATTCAGGTTTTAGAGACTGATGAAATATCGAGTGCTGAGCTAGACTATCCTCCGCAAAATATTAAGGAGTTGTTAAAGATAACAGGGGAATAAATTTTAGCGGATGTTGATCACGAATTTTAGATAACAACAACGTATCTTTGCTCATTGGAGCTGATAATTATTGGAAATTAGTAAAGAACAAAACTGAACGTTTGAACTCAATATTAGTTACAATGGAAACCAGAATGGGTTGGATTTTAATGGGGAAACTGTTTGATCATATGGAAGATAGGAAAAATGTGACTCCTGGCGTCGCAGTGACTTATTTATTAATTCACTCATCGAGGATTGAAAATTTGTGGAAATTAGATTTATTGGGTATTCGAGACCCTGTTGAAACAAAATGTAGAAGGAAATGGAAATTGCCGCATTGAATCATTTTAACGAAAACTGTTACTTTTAAAGAGGGAAGATATGAGGTTCAGTTGCCTTGGGTCATAGAAAAGGACTGTTTAAGTCCAAATTTCGATATTGCTAGACAGCGTTTAAACAGTACGACACACCGGTTGATACAAAAGGGCAAATTCGAGGATTACAAAAATGTTTTCACTGATTGGTTAAATGAAGGAATTATAGAAAAAGTCCCTGAACACGAAATGAATAATCAGTGTCACTATTTACCACATAAAGGGGTATTCAAAGAAACTTCGACCACGAAATTGCGACCGGTATTTGATGCTTCCTGTAAAGACAAAAATTCGCGCTCACTTAATGATTGCCTAGAAAAAGGTCCAAATTTGCTGGAACAAATTATTCCTATAATTTTAAGATTTCGCAAGAATAGAATAGGAGTTATTTCAGACATAAGAAAGGCTTTTTTGCAAATGTCAGTGAATAAGAGTGATCGAGATTTCTTACGATTTTTATGGTGGAAAGACTTTGACAAGGAGGAACTTAGAGTTTTTAGACATAAACGCGTTGTTTTTGGATTGAATTGCAGTCCCTTTTTATTGGCTGCTGTATTAAGCCATCACATTGATCTAAATTCGTCTAAATATCCTGAAACAGCGGAAAATTTAAAAGAATCATTCTACGTAGATAATTGCATCACATCTGTTCCTGATGAAGAAACACTTACGCGATTCATCGAGGAATCGAAACAAATATTAGATTCTGCGTCATTCGATTTGAGAGGGTGGGAGCACACTTCTCTTTTGAAATCTGAAGACAGTATAGAACCTACTCCTGTGTTGGGAATTTTATGGGATAAGGAAGATGATAGCCTTTTCTGTGAGGTGAAGACTGCTACTGACAAACCAGTGAATCTTACTAGAAGAAATATATTGTCTGCGGTACATCGCATTTTCGACCCCATGGGTTTTTCTTCTGCCCTATAACGCTAATACACCTAAACTACTCATACAAAAGACATGGTTGTTAAAAATTGGTTGGGATACAAATATACCCGAAGACTTAGGAAAAGAGTTCTATTCGTGGATTGATGATTTGTCACTTTTATCCAGTATTAGAATTCCAAGGGCTTTAGATATAAATGGAAATGAAAGTCTTAGTCTTCATACGTTCTGTGACGCAAGTAAACAAGCCTATGGATGTGTGATTTATTTAAGAAAAGAAACAAGTGAAAATGTATCGGTGTATTTTCTTCTAGCTAAAAGTAGAGTGAGTCCATTAAGAAAAATGACCATAAATCGTCTAGAATTATTATCCTGCTGTATAGGAGTCAGACTCGCAGCTCTTGCTTTACAAACACTCAAATTAGACAACGTTCCAAGGAACTATTGGACAGATTCGAGTACTGCTCTTTCTTGGATCCAAAGAGATGACCATTGGGGGCCATTTGTCGCAAATAGAGTAAAAGAGATACGAAAATTGTCATCGGAATCTGAATGGCATCACATTCCAGGAAATTTGAATCCTGCAGATATACCATCACGTGGGTGTTCGATTAAGAGTTTTGTGAAATCTCGCTGGTGGCAGGGGCCAGAATGGCTTATGTAGAACGATGAAGAGTGGCCAAATAGTGAAGTGATTACTAACGAAGAAGAACTTATGAAAGAAAAGCGAAAGAACATTATTTCGACTTTGGCTAATATCACCGCTGAAAAATGGTATCTGATTTACTTTTCAAGTTACTTTAAAATTGTGAGAATGATTTCTTGGATTCTAAGATTCATAAATAATTGTAGACATGGAGGAAGAAATTATGGCAAAACCCTGAGTGTTGAAGAATTGGACATTGCTGAGAAGAAATTAGTGAAGATCGTTCAACAAGAAGCATTCTCTAGTGAAGAACAGTTGAAGGGACATTTTACTTTCAGAGATGAAGAAGGGATTATAAGATTGAAAACGAAGATTTTGAGAAGACATGATGATGAAAACTTCCGGTGCCCCATTGTACTTCCATTCCAAACATGAATTAGTAGAAAGAATGATACAAGACTACCATTTACAACTTTTACATGCTGGTACTCAAGTTCTTTTGACCAATATTCGTCAAAAATTTTGGATATAAAAGGAAGAAAAAACAGTACAAGGAGTCATATCGAAGTGCGTTCGGTGCAAGAGACACTCGGCGAAAGCTCTTGATACAGTGCCTTGTCCTCTCCCAGAAGATCGAGTCAGAGATGCTTATGCATTTGAGGTGACAGGTGTTGATGTAGCAGGACCACTTTATTTAAAAGAAAATAGAAAAGCTTGGATCTTGCTTTTTACTTGTGGAGTTTATCGTGCGGTTCATTTAGAATTAATTGAAAGCTTATCGACTAATGGATTCTTCCTCGGATTTCGAAGATTCATAGCACGAAGAGGACGGCCTAGAGTAGTATACAGCAACAATGGCACAAATTTTGTAGGGGCAAGGAATTTACTCCGATCTGTTGACTGGAACCAAATTATCAAAAGTTCTTCGACAATGAAAATTCAGTGGAAGTTAAATCCACCAACCGCAGCATGGTGGGGCGGCTGGTGGGAGAGACTGGTTCAGATGATCAAGAAATTATTGAGAAGAGTCCTGGGAAAAGCATTACTTTCATATGAAGAAATGTTAACTATCCTATGTGATGCAGAAGCAAATATCAACTCCAGACCATTAACATACGAGTCAGAAGATTCCACCGATTTATGTGCACTCACTCCATCTATGTTTATTCAGGATGTGCGAACTGAAGGTGTTCCGGATCTGGACAGTTTGGATAAAATCAACTTATCGAAAAGATGGCGATACCACCAAAAATTACGTGTAGAATTTCGTAAAAGATTTCTTGGATTGTTAGAATGAATATCTTGGACTGTTAGAACATCGACCAAAGACCGTACCTCCGCAAATCATCAAGAAAGGTGATTTAGTGTTTGTAGAGGACGACAGAAGGAAAACAACAGACTGGCCTATAGGTCAGGTTGTAGAAACGTATCCTGCGAAAGACAACGAAGTACGTATTGTCAAAGTGAAAACTGCAACGGGTGAGCTCCTAAGACCTGTGAAACGTATTTATCCTCTCGAACTTGGTAGACGTAGCTTGTCTAGTGACTTGACCATAAACAGAAAGAATTCTGCCGGTAAATGTGACAGTGATATAAACTATCAAACTAGATATGGACGTAAAACTGTAAAACCTGTTACGTATTTTAAAATTGTTATACTAATTTTTGTTTCTTTTCAGTATCTTATAAGCTTAATTCTCCTAACTGTAGTAAATTGGAATATGTTATCTGGATATGGTAAGAAAATGTTTAGATGTGTAATAGTCCTTTGTAAGTATTAATTTTTAGAGCATTAGTTAATTTTCATATTTGTGAACTTTTGTTTGATTATTGATAAATTAAAATCAAAAGGTGGGAAGGATGTTCCATTCTTGCCACTAGATGGTGGGCAATCTTCCTTTTTTTTTTCGCTAACTGAGATCTCGGAATGAGATTAGATTCGAACCGCTCAGAGGAGAGTGAAGACAAAACTTCGGATTTCGAAACCAACTAAAATGTACTGTCATTAAAGTAATTATCAACTATCCTGTAAATACTGTAAAATAAAGATGTGTGAAAATAAAAAGTCTTTAAGATTTAACTGAAGTAGTGATTTGAATCGAATATAGAAATCGAAAGCTCTCCCATATAGAAGTTATAGATTAGATATAACAGGATTTTTTTATGTTCTGTAAACGTCTCTACAATTACGGATCCGTTACATGTGTGTGTATTTAATTATGACAAAGCACACGAGGGCTATCTGCCTAAGGGGAGGTATGCCTTCGTGGAGGACTTTCTAAGGGAAACTGGCTCGTATACACGTTACACATGGGGAAAATCAAGGATCCGTTACATGAACAACTAATAGTGCTTGTGGAGCGAGTGGATGTGCAAACAACATGTACTCCGGATTTGCAAGATGTGAATATAAATACATATTGGTTAAGCTTATCTATTGATCATGTGTGTATTAATACAGATTCAGTGAATACATAAACTAGCTCTCCTCCCAACGTATCTTTAGTTGCTGATAGTCAGATTCAGACAAATTCGCCTAGTTGAAAAGATAAAATTTCAAAAAGAAGGTCTTCTACCAAGTAGTTCTTCGGAATTACCTTCAGAATCGTCAATAGACTACAGATCTCCAAGTTTCGATTCCTCATCCACATTAGGCAAAACTTTGTTTATATGTTCAAAAGAACATACTACCTGTCAGTTACTTTAGACTAAAGATACTCATTAAATCAAATAAATGAGAAGGCTAGCTTGAATCGACGGACAAGAAGTTTCTTTAAAGGCAAAAAATTTTATTTCAATTATTTGCAACAAACAGCTTTATTATAAACTGATATCTATTTAAAAACCTTTAAACTACTGTTCTAATCATAGTTCGCGATTAACTGAGGCGTTGCTACACTTTTCAAAAAAAAAAAACTATTAACCGAGGAAATTTACTTACCATAAGTGGCGCAACATTCTCCCCACTTGAGTTTTAGAACCTTTGGAAGAAAAGTCAACAAAATAAACATTAAATGTAAACTTTCTAAAACACAGGAAATATTCAAAATATAAAATGTCTATTTCAAGTTCCTGTTCACATTATTCGAATGTTCAATAACTTCTAAGGGGTACAGCCTTTGAATAGGACCGACACATCATTGGTAGAAAGATTTTGAAGGAACGAAGATGGTGTCAAAATTCTTAAATCTGGTTCTTCTGATACGTATGTCAAAGGTCTGTTATTCATAATTTATTCACATTCACAGACGAGAGTCAAGAGTTCTTCGTAAGTCAAAGATGAACGCCTTAAGTCTTTTCTGAGGAGATCTTTAAGTATGGCGATGAGTCTTTCCCAGAATCCTCCCCACCATGAGGCAGATGGTGGCTTGAACTTCCATTTGATTTGACTAACTTCAAATTCTTTTTGAATTTTTGTCCATTTAAGCTGTTTTAAGCAGGAGTTATTCTTGATTTAGCTTGGAGTAGCTGCACCTTTAGAGTACTATCAGAATATTCGTATCTTAAGTTTCTTCAGATCAGTTTCTTTACATCAGTTTCTTTAGGATCAGTTTATTTCAGTTTCTTTAGACCAGTTCCTTTAGGTCAGTTTCTTTAGATTAGTTTCTTTAGATTAGTTTCTATGCACATCACTTCATACTCTGCAAAATCAAGAGTTCCTTCATCAAAATTTTTCTTCTTTTCTGTTGCGATATTTATATTATGTCCTTTTGTAATGGTTTCAGTTTGGAATTCTCGCAGACTTTTCTGTATTTCCTCTTCTTACTTTAAAAGTTCTTTAACCTCTTTCTCACTAAAACGTTCTCCAGTTTTGCTGTTTATGGATTGCAGGGCCACTGTATCTTTTATACGACAGAATTTCTCATTTAATTCTTCCAAAATTTCTTCTCTTTCATTTATTTGTTCTTTTAAAACTTCTTGCTGAATTTTACTCTGCTCATGAAAGGTAATAATTTCATCAAATTTGGTATCTATATCTCGTGTTCAAAAAAGTCATCATATGTATAACTTCGTATTAGGTAATTCACTATAAGTTTTAAGAATAAATATTCAGACGTTTATTTTAAGGTTTAAATATTATTTCTTTGAGGAAAATTATTGCATAGCACAGACTAAAATATTTTCATGGATTTTAAAAGAAAATTAAAATGTTCTGTTCAGAGTTATTTCAGTTGATTAATAGATGGAAATCGTCTACCCAAAACTTCATGGAATGTTCCTTCGTCTGCATCCAAAGGTATCTCTATGTTCTGAAAATTATCCTTTTCAGTAGATCCCTTAATGAATACCAATAATTTTTCTTGTAGAATTTTTTCCTTTTTATCAGATTTTCTCTTTCTTCTTCTAAAGCCAGAATTACCTGTGTTATATTTATCTTCTGCATATCTGTCACTTGCTGCTGCGTTCGTAAATCATCTAATGGTTCTTCTCGTTTTGCTTTTTCCTGTTTGATATCTGCGGCATTTAATTTTTCGTCCTCCAAGTACAAGACAAGCACCTTACTGTATGCATAAAATAGCATAGAATTGCTATCTTCCAATTTCTTTATTTCTGGACAATTTGCTACAAGTAATAAATTAAAAGTATGTCAGGTATTTTTCCTAAGAAACGTGTTGTGAGCCGAAATCAAACATCGTTACCATGGTAACGCCAGCTTTCTAATTTATTATGGGCCTAACAGCTTTCATTAATTGACAACCTCTAACTGTGAAATTATTTAATAGATCATCAGAACCATGTTCTGGTTTACTTTTGAATCCGATTGAAGCACCATTATCAAGGAGAATAAAGTATCGAGGTCTCCAGTTCCTAATGTACATCCCCTCGCTTAAGTAGCCAACCTTCTTTAACTATGGTTGCTGAGATTGAGGCATAATCATTTCTGATGCTGACAAACTGTTTACTGGAGTACACATGGGTAACTTGTAATTACAGGAGATATTAAAGCACATATACGAACAAAATATTTTTCAACCGCAGAAGTGTCTTCAAACATCACATCTTTGTACATCATAGATAAGACAGAAACTACATTAATCCTAAATGACTTTTGGCTGTTATGAATATGACATTCATTGTGTGAGAATTAACTTAACAACAAAGAAGACTGGAAATCTAGCAGTCGGATCCTAAAGGAACAAATGTCCAGCTTGTCGATAACATTAAGAATAACATACATCAAAGGTGAAATAGTTCAATATATATAGTAAAAAATTAGGTATTCTTCAACGTTCATGTATTAAATATGAAATCTTCAAAACGAAAAGTAATAAATCTCTTACCTTTTGTGGCTTCTTGTCGCCGTTCCAATTGAGCCGCCCACCCGAGGGTGTCAAGAATGTCGGTTACTTTAGACTAAAGATACCCATTAAATCAGATAAATGAGACGGCTCGCTTTAATCGATGAACAAGAAGTTTCTTTAAAGGCATAAACATTTTATTTCAATTATTTGCAACAAACCGCTTCATTGCAAACTCATATCTATTTTAAAAATCTTTAAACTATTGTTTCAATGACAGTCTCGCGATAAACTGAGGCGTTGCTATTTTTTTCAAACAAACAATTAACGAGGTAATTTACTTACCATAAGTGGCGCAACACTACCTGTACTGCTTTGAGAGATTTTCTTGCTTCTCTAGTCAATTCTGTAAAATTTGGAGTCACAGGTGTTGATTTGCGTTTCAACAGGAGAAAGGATCTTTGTATTACTTGTGCTACAGCAGCTCAATAGCATATTCTGACGAATTTTCTGAAGGACTACCCAGCGGCTAAATCTCTCCACATTCGTGAACCACTAATAGTTACTCGCACCATGATAATCTTCGGCCTACCAGAAACTGCGGCTGTTGACGATTTACAAACTTCAATTATACACCGATTATCAAGACCTCCGTTGTCTCCTGTTCATTTTGTCTCCAATTACAAAACAAGATTAGGATCTTCCAAAAACATTGTATTGCGAATTAGTCAACATGATCTGGAGGCAGTGGGCTCTCGACGTAAAATTTATGTGGGTTTTGATTCTTATTATTTTCGATAATATCATCGCACACTAAGATGCTATGACTGTCAATCTTATGACCACACTATTAGGCAATGTTTAGAATAGCGCTTTTGCACACATTGCTCAAAATCTCATATGGTTCCTGATTGCCCGGATGGTCAAATGTGTATCAAATGTATTAGATATAATAAGCAGTCAGGAACTTCATTTCATTCAGTTCATTATGCAAATTACAGTAAATGTCCTGTCTTTAAGCAGCAATTATTAACACTTCTTAAATCTCAAATTATTG